GCCTGATAACATGGGCTTCTAAATAGCAAAGAAGACATAAGAGGTAATAGGGTAGCCACCAAAACCACAAGAGGAAACACGAAGGGTGTTCTAACCTAGTTTGCTTTCATGCAGTGGTTTCTTTCGGAACAGCTCGGCTGGTGAGTCCACCCACTCTCCTCGTGAAGCTGGGCTGGGTTTATAAACAGATGCCTCTCCTTGTAAGGACTTCAGATTAGGGGTTTCTCCCAGACCCACAATCCACTTTAAGGTCTAAAGGAGGAAGAGACAAGGAGGCAGGACACCTGCTCAAACAGCCATGACAAGGGTGGGTGTTTAACCCCCCTCCTTTTCACTGCTCTTACTCTGAGAACCTTTCTCCTCTATACTCTTTACTAAAGAGATCTTCCCTGGAAATAATTTCAGTGTCAGTAAAGTTGCTTCATAAAGACAAAAGAATTTTCAGGTCCCTGTGACACACTTAAGCTGATTTTCTCATCACAATTAAAGCTTCTCTGCATGCTTCTCTGGAAGCCAAATCTTACAGAATGCTAGTGGGGAGGAGGCAAATGTTTAAGCCTCTGCACAAGGTTTCACTGGTCAGTTGGGACATCATAGGACATTCTGCACTCCAGGGCTCTATAGCCCTGCTCTAAAGTAAAGATCTGTACAATTAACTTTCCTACCAAAATAAGGGGGAGGGGAAACTGTCTCAGGTTCCATCTGCTCATCTGTTTTTCTCCATCCCACTAAAATCTGTTCCTTCTCAAAATCTCTCTCCTCCATCTGCGCTTCACGCCAGGGAAACCATATCAAGAGACACCAGGAACACTTCTACTCCCTTTTTTGTCCCACTTTTTTGCCTCACTTTCAATAAGCCTTGGGGATAAACTGATGTTGGTAATGATGATGATGATGATGATGATGATGATGATGATGATGATGATGATGATGATGATGATGGTGGTGGTGGTGGTGGTGGTGACGATGACTACAACAACCTGTGGCCTCCTCACCTTCTTCCTTTACTGGAAACGAGAGTGTTCTGTCAAGGACACATCCTCTTCATCCAGTGAGACACTTTCCTCTAGGTTCCTCTCTGACCAGGATGACCCATTTCCTTCCCTCAACAGAACTCAGGAAGATGAGTCAGCACGGGCAGTACAGAGCATCAAGAAGAGAGGTGAGGAGTGGTAGAGGCCAACTTCCCACTCTGCACCACAAGCTGTGTGAGCTGTGCTGACTCTCTAGCTCATCCATGAAGCTTTTTTAATCTGCTATTTTCATCTCAGGCTATCAGAGATCATTATAAGCCACCTGCCACTCCAAAGAGGCTGAAAACACACAGGACATTTCTCAAGAAGAGGATATACTTTCTTCTATCAACTGTTTTCAGATTCTGTGTGTGTGTGTGTGTGTGTATATATATATATGAGAGAGAGACAGAGACAAAGATAGAAAGATAAAGACAGACAGAGATCTGTACAGAGAACTAGAAAAGGAGCTCATAAGGTGACTCGTGGAGAAAAGTGAATGCTTCCTAGAAAAAGACAACAAAGAATCGGGAAGAATAAAACAAGCCTATGCCCAAGAACCAAGGGGGAAACAACAGATGAGCGGCAGCTCAAGTTCAGTAGTTGAGAATGGATTCTGCTTTCTTGGCTCATTGTGATGTTCTTTGATGTTTACTTAGAAAATGGTCAGCTGAGAGGCTTCCCTCCAGTTTGTCCACCAGAGGGGCAGCCCACCCCTGTGGAGCAGGGCCCACCCTCACAAGAGACTCCTCTCTTTGTATAGACATGAGTTAAAAGGTGTCTATAGTCACCACAGAGACATAACATAATACATAAGTACATAACAAATACAAATAAACTCATAGGAGTCAACAAGTAAACTCTTTTGAGTTAAAAAAAAATGATTTGCCTTTAAAAACATATACTTATATTAAAAAAAAACTTCACATCTCTTGTATAAAATAAGGTATTTTTATAAATATATACTTTCATTTTCTATTTTTAAAATGTCAACACATAAAACTAAAGAACCCTTTCACATTTTAGAATCTATTTTGTTTTAAAAGATTCAGGTTACAACAAATTTGAGCTTTCTTTTTAATCTTTACCAGATGTTGTTTATACTACAAGCAATTTTTTTTCAGTACCCCATAATGTAATTATTGTTTAATTAGTGATAAATCTGTCATTCTTGTGCTTACAACCTTAACAAGTACCAAATGTGCTCTTATATTGTATTTACATGAAGTTTCAGTGTTAGGACACAGAAGTGGGGGTGCACACTATGAGATGCTCAGCTCTGCACCCTGGACAAATTCCTCCAGCTCTGGTCCCCGTGTGCCTAGGCTCAAAGGCAGTTTCTCGGGTCCCACTGCCGCTCAGCTTGCCTCTGAATGGGAGGAACTGCCATGGTCTACTATTTCTTGTAGTCTGATTGTGGTCCTTCTCCCCTCCAGTAGCTACAAAGCCTGCAGGCCCAGGAGTGAAGATTATCCTGCACCCTGGGCTATTCTTTGGTAACAACGCTGGGGCATCTAGTGTCCCTGGGAGGTCAACACTGGAAAGTGCAGTACAGACAGAAGCCCCACCACACTTCTCTGGTCCACCAAGGCTAAGCCATCTACTCCAGCTCTGGCTTAATCATATGCATCACAGTACAGCTCAGGCAGGAAGTATTTCAAATAGTTCATAACAATGCAGAGAAAGAATGCTAGAATATTAGTAAAACCTATTGGTGCAGAAAAAAATATCATTGAGGACAGGAACTAATTCTTCAGTTGTATTTTAGAAATGGGATTGGGCAAGGTCCTCCTGAAGCTGCAGTGACTGCTCTCTTAAGAATGAGAACAAAGACACTTCCTGGCCAATAGGAGAAATACAATGAGGTGTCTGGAGCTTGAATAGACAAACTTTTTACTAAGCTACCAACTCTTCTAGTAAAATAATAGTCTCGGAGTTAAAATCAGAGTAAAACAAAAGTCCTACCATGCCTCCTGCCTCCCGTGCACCCCCTCTTTGGGGCAGCTCTGCTAGGCCCAGCCGCAGTGGCTGCCAGCAGGTGGGTCAGCCCATGAAAGAGGGCATGGGAGGGCATGGGAGGGCATGGGAACCAGGGTGCCCCTGCCTATGGCACATAGCAGTGTAGCAGCCAAGCACAGGCCACTCTACCATCCAGCCAGCCCTTTTCATTCAAATAGAGGATCCAAACAATAGTTTTCTTGGCTCTACACACAGAACTATAACTGGAAAACAGCCTCCTTGATATAAGGCCAACCTGGGCAAAGCACAAAGTACCAAAAGGGCTGCCTAATTAACAAGTGGCTTTCACTATTTCTCCTGATGTCCATTTTCAAGGTCAGGTCTGAGGCTAGGGATTACGGTCAGCCTGGTGACTGCTTTGTCAAAGGAAACACAAGGCCCTCTGGTTTTGAAACCTTTAGTCTGCATAGGGAATGACAAACTGGGATTAACAGCCTGATCTTTCTGGGGCCACCAACTGTGGCAGGCAGCCATGATCTTGGGGACAATACAGGGTAGAAAAGTCAAAAGTTGAATCTCAAACACAAGCAGGTTTGGAAACATATTTTTATTTCATAGGTCTCACACATGTGCCCGCACACGCATTGGAATTAGGGTGACTTCTGACTAGTCTCTTGTCATTCATTGATTTAACGGAAACCACCAGACCTCTGAAGTCTCTGAAAGGCCAAAGGACATTCAGGGAGGTCATTGTACTTTATATAATAATTTTATCTTTTATTTTTGCTACATTTGGTTAACTATAGAATTTCCAGGACTCATTCTGGATAGTCCCAAGGGGTGGGAATATAATTAACAGTGCTCCACACAAAACACAAGTTACGCAGACCATCACACTTTAATTACTGTCAGAATCCAGCGCTAATGCAATTGGCATCAGGTTTCCTGAGCAGCAAAGTACAGCAGTCTAGCTGGGTCTTACAGATCTGATACTGTACATGGCCCTGTCAATGCTTGAAGATGCTGTGCTGCGATAAATGAATCAGATGATGCAATTAGGAAGCAGGTTCGTCAGGTTACTCCTGTAATCACTCAGCCAGGTCACGGGCTTATTCTACCCTGCTGGGCCCTCGGGTTTTCTGGTTCTGTGGGCTCTGGATAGTGGAGGAGAACTGACTAAGCCAATCAGGGGCTTCCAGTTTGTTGTCTATATTGTAATTATCTCCATGAACCATACAGAATAGAGAGGTTACATCCTGGCAATGCCACAATAAATTAAACCAAATAATACCCCTCAATTCCCCCTTCAACTATAATAAAAACTCTGAAGCTCCCCACACATGATCCTGATAAACTGCTTCTAAGTTGTGTGACGAAAAAGGTTTCAGCCAACTATCCAGCTGGACTAAGGTTCCCAAACAATGTCTGTGGGAGGTGCACCTTCCTGTGCTCACCAAAGGATGGCTTAGGCTAAAGGCTCCAGGTAAAACAGATGCAGAAAAGGGTCAGAGAAGAACCAGTAACATCAACGAACAGTCACAGACTGGGAAGCTTTCCACTGAGGGAAGATGTAAAGGAAAATCACAAGCAGCCTAGAAGCAAATAACCCAGTGTCTTCATTTGGCACTGAAAGCAAACAGTCCAGACATAAAGTAACTTACACCACAGCATGCACATTTAATTTAGAAATAAAGACATTTACCACATAAGGTAATCTGCCACCTTAAACCTAGAAGGGGCTGTCGGGGACTTCTAGATGATCTACATTTAGAAAGATGATTTACGTCTACACCTACATTCTAGAAGATGTACATCTAGGGAGCTGCCCTCTTATTCCTAGCCTTAAGAGTCAATACAACACTTTTTGAAAAGGTGAGCTGCAGCAATCGTGCATACAAATAAACATACATATGCAGAGGGAGTGAAAATTCCAGCAACTGGTGCTGCATGACTGGTGCCTTACAGTCCCCAGTCTAAAAGAGAAGATGTCAGTGATGCAGGGCAGCCCTAGCACTTCCCTCTGCCTAGGCCACGACCAAAGCAGATACATGCTCTCCCATTTTCCAGGCATAAGGTTGAGCCATCCCTATGCTGCACTGCTATGGGAACTTGCCTCCATTAGACACCCAGGTCGCAAGAGCCACTAGCAACACAGACAAGGCTTCTGAGGTTCCGACAGTGCTGTGCTAGTAGCCATATTATGATCTCTGGGAACACAAGTAAGCTCTACTGTTTCAGGAACCACCTGCTGCTCTGACAGCACAAACTCCTTCCTCTCTGTAACCTCACTCAGTGGCTAACTGAGAGCCACAGCAAAAACTGTGTGTGTGTATATGCAAATGAGGCAGTTGGTGTCCTGGACCTCTCACCCCAAAACCTGACTTTAGGAAGCTGAGATGAAAGACCTTCTAGAAAAGGAGACCATGGTGCCTGTACACTGCATGACTCTCCCCTTGGAGCACGCACATTAAACAGGCAGGTAACTGGAGGCCTGCCTGAGTGAACAATCCCTTTGTATCCACTGAGGACTGCACCAAAATCTAGGCCTGTTGCTTGAGGGAACTAGCCTCCTGGAGCAGGGCTGGGCAGCATCTTCTGTGGACACTGGCTGGCTTCTTACTAGTACTCTGGGCACAGTAAATCTCTTTCCTATTTTTTAAATGGGGTCTTACTATGTTGCCCAGGCTGTTTTTAATTACATTTTTATTATGGGGAGGTACATAAAATAGCATGTGTGGGGAGGTCAAAAGACACCTTGTGGTAGCTGGTTCTTTCCTTCCACCATGTAGGTCCTGGGGATTGAACTCATGTTGTCAGGCTTGGCATCAAGCACCTTTATCCACTTGCCCACGTAACCAGACTGGTTTTGCACTAGGGTCAACTGACTCTCCCATTTGTGCCTTCTGAGTAACTGGAACAGTAAGTCAGAGCACCACTATGCTCAGTTTTATTTGCTTTGCACAAACACAGACACTCACAGATTTATTCTCACATACTTATTCTTCTTTTGTATATCTTACAAGAAAACAAAAGAAGACCAACAGAGCCAAAAAAAAAAAAAAAAAACCTGAGCCCTGGGGGTCCTGCAGAGACTGAAACCCCAACCAAGGACAATGCATGGAGTGAAAAAAAAGGAGGGAGGGTGTGATTAGGAGGAGATGAGGGAGGGGGCCACAGCCGGAATACAATACAATTGAATAAATTGTAATAAATGATAATAAAAATAAATTAATTAAATTTTTTAAAATTAAAAAGAAAAAGAAAAAGAAACCAGCGTACTTGAAAGCTGCTCTTGTCTTGGTTAGCCTGTCCCTGGATTAAATGATAACAGGCTCTGCCCTCATTGGGAAAAACATGATTCTTAGGAAGAAACTGTCACCAGGTATTGGATAATGGGTCACATTGGCAGATGTGTGATGTGTACTTTCTGGTATTTTTTTTTCCCCTGAACCTCACTAACCCCACAGAAGGCAGACATTCTGACTTCCCAGGCTCTGGCCTCTGCCTGGAAGCCAAGCCACTGGTGTCCAGACCGTAAGGCTTCTGAAGGAAGTGGAAGGCCTCTATACATAGGAACTTCACCCAATGGAAAATTTACACAAGTCTTAATTGGTTTTGCTGCTTTAAAAATTTTTCTGAGCTCTTGTTTGTTTCTATTTTCTTTCATTAAGAGCTGTAAGTCTACTTTCTAAGTTTGTATTAACTTGTTTCTTCTCTCCCTAGTCTGCAAGATACTTGATTTTAAGCATATGTTCCTCATGTTGAAATGAGAAACAGTATTTTTAAAAAGCCTACTTTGCATCCCTGGTCTCTTCAGACGCCTGGAAACCGCACTGTATATATGTCATAGGTGACATGTGGGCTTGTTTTCTCCTGTGAAATGGGGAGGTGTGGGAGAGCACAGCAAATGAAGGAAAACATTTGATGGGCCTCCTCAGCAGTGGGAACTGGGTGGTTCCAACATACACTGGAAATTGGGACACTTCTAATCACAGAAACATCTTCAGGCATTAGATGCTTCTAATAAAACATAAATAATAAGTTTAAAGGTCCCTGGCTCTGTTCATACTTTTTTACTTCTATCACTCTAACTAAAGACATTATCCCCAACATTCCTTTAAGGATTTCTCATGTCACCAAAGCCCAGCACGTACCAGTAATGACTCTTTTATACAGCGCTCCATCCCTCTCAGGCAATTTCTCTTGCTGGAGAACAGCTTTTCAAAAAGATGTAGTGTTGCTTTTTCGAGACTGGGGAAATGCCGAAACCAGAGGCTGACCACAGAGGACGTGGAAAGAACAATTTTTTTCCTTTGAACAAGAAATAAGCAGAAAGTTAAACAAAAATAGATTCCTGAAAAGAAGAAGAAGAAAAAGAGGAGGAGGAGGAAGAAGAGGAAGCGGAACCACGTTCAAATAGAAATCACTAATCAAGCACGTGAGGACCTACCACGGTGCTGACAGCAGTTAGTATTTATGCATCTGTGTGACATTCACCCACCTAAGAACTTAGAGGAATGAATGCTCAGAAGTTGGGGGCAGCTTCCAAAAGCACATACATAGTGAAGAAAGGGAAAGAGGAACGTGAGTTGGACAAAAGCCCTGTGATTTCCAGGAAATGTGGTCACGAAGTTAAAGACATGCTATGTCCAAACATTTGAAGTAGTGAGGTACACTAACACCTGGACACCTGGTCCTTCAGAGCCTCAGTTTACTTATCTCTCGAACAAAAGTGGCTAGAAGGATCCAGCGTGGTAGGTAACACTGTAACACACAGCACAGAGCACACTGTGAGTACTCCGTAAGCATGATGCAAGTCTTAGTGGGGAGATGGCCTCACGGGTGCACATGGAGCTCACGTTAGAGCCACACATGCCATGTGGCTTCATTTATGTTTTCTGTCTTTTGTGTGTAGTGTAAGTATGTGTGTATTTCTGTGCAGGAGTGTATGCAGAAGCCAAAGATGACCTCAAATCCCTTCCTCTAGTGCTCTCTGCCTTACTGCTTTGAGGTAGGTCTCTTCCTGAACCTGCCATGCATGGTTGTTTCTTCTTTTGACTAGGCTGGCAGACAGCTAGCATGGCAATTCTGTCTCCACACTGCTCTCCTGCCCACACACATACTGCTGGGGTCACAGGCACATGGGGGAACACTTCCAGCTTGTAATTTAGGTGAGAGCATTGCCCGGGTAGGGGTCCTTTGTTCAGCGTGCCAGTGGCACTCGAGCCCCCTCAACCTTGGAGTAAAGACTTACCCCAGCTCGCGTGGAACAAGCTCATAATCATACACAGGAACTCCTCTGACTTTCAAAAGTGCTGTGTTCTAAGCTATTAGTCATACAGCTGCCACATGCCACACAGTCAGTTTATGTGGTCAGCTGGTATTAGTCACCCATGCTGCCAGGAGCTAGTTGCACTCACACACTCCTCTCATCAATTGAATATGTCTTTCCCATGCCAATCACACCTCTATCTTTCTGGATACCACACTGATGTCTACTGCTTCAATCTGACTGTCTAAGGCCAACGCCTCATGGTTAGTCCACCCATCAGTAAGAGACTCATCCACAAACTGTGAGTCTTCCTTCTGGTTAAAAACGGCTTCCCATCATTCCCTCTTTGGGTGTGATAATTTGCTAAAGCAGCTCAGAAGTCACAACAATGCTCTATTTACAACAATCAGCAACTCATTATTAAAAAAAAAAAAAAAAAAAACAACTAGCACAAACAAATAGCAGAAACCCACAAGACACAGTGGGGAGAATGGGCTTGGGGTACGGCATTCTCCCAGAGGCTTTTGTATTCACCAACCTGGACGTTCTTCAAGCCCTGTGGCCTAGCTGATGCATCACTGGGCACTGGTAATTACACCAGTTCAGGCTGTCACAGGTCTGGTTGCTCTGGTGCTAGCACTCATCCTGAACGTCTCTAGGGTTCAACTCACATATGGTTGAACAGGGTTTATCATAGCAAAACCTTAAAAGGAAGGTTTGGAAGTCTGCATAAAGACTATACATATACTTCTTCCTCTGTCACAACCTTGAAGCCATTTATCCATTTCCTTTTATCTGCTTCAAGCACAGGGGAAGAAGCCCCTGCATGCTGCCATCAGACTCCAGTGTTTCTGAAGCACTGGATTTGGGTTTAGTTCAGAGGACATGACACACTCAGTTACTAACACTCCACAGGCTAATCACAGAACCTCAGCAGCCATCCCACCTCTAAATGGTTTCAGACAATCTGCAGCTTACAGATGCTGGGGAAAAGACTCCCAAGAATGAATTTTACAAAGAGTTAGGTTCCACAGTTTGGTCACAAAATTAAAAGGTTCCTCTAGGTTATCTACACCACAAAGGGGAACCATCAAGAGTTGTTTAGAGGAATTAGATGGCCCATTTCTGGAAATATGTGATTGTTGGAAGCCAAGGCCAAAGACGCCCAGCCAATTATAAAACACAGAAATTCCACTGTGTGCTATGGTAAGCAATTGAGAGGCTGAACACAGGGCAAGGTTACTTTGGTCAAAGAAAGCTGTGGTTTCTGAAGTCCACACAGCCCATGTGGGGAAGTGTTCAAGCTGGGAGGGGTACAGGGTGTGGAGTGGCAATCCACACGGCTCACTGAGTCAGCCTCCTTTGTGGACATGTGGTGGATGGGCGCTCCACAGCAAAGAGTCCATGGAAAGGTTCCAGCTGATGAACCTGCTGGATTAACTTGCTGGTCTGAAGCTGCTAGAATCAGACATGCTGAGGACCACCCAGCATTTCTGGACAGCCTGTCCCTTGTGGATTTGTAGACAAAACTTTCCAAACCAGTTACTGAGGGAGAATACTACCATAATCGAAATAAGAGCAAGGGCAGGCAAGCCCTCACCCTAGGCTCTGGGCACCTCGCCTCTTGGTCAATAATTTTTGAAACTGCTATTGGGGCTTACAAAAGATGCCAAAGGCATTCTGCTTTAATCTGACTCTTGTCCAAAAAGAAAGGCTGAACACAGAGCCTTCTCTGCTAGTGGATTCCTACAATCGGAGATGGAGCGTCTTCCCCTGTGATGTGGAGTATGAAAGGTGGGAGTTGGTGGGAAACTGTTAGAACTTCAAGTGACTTGGATAAACTGCAGGTAATGATTATTCAACTCCCGTGAATAACAAAGGTAATGGAAGACTTCTCAAAAAAAGTTCAGACATACTCAGTAAATTGTGTCAGAAGGCTTGAATAAGATAGAAAAAAAATGACTTTTCAGTTTTCCATGTTTATTATGGATATGGTTTTTGTCTGTGTATGTGTGAGTGCCATGTGTGTGCAGATGCCAACAGAAGCCAAAAGAGGGCGTCAAATCCTTTGGAGCTGAAGTTACTGGCAGTTGTGAGCTTTCCAACATGGATGCTGGGAACTGAACTCAGGTTCTCTGCACTATGTTCTCTTAACCCTTGAGCCATCTCACAAGTCCCTGATCTCAGGTTTTAACCATGAAAATTATGCTTCTATGGTTCACTTTATTTAGTTGGCTGTTTTTTTTTTTTTTTTTCAGACAGGGTCTTTGTTTAGCCCAGATTGGCCTTGATGTCTGCCAATCCTCCTGTTTCAGTTTCCCAAGTGCTAGGATACAAATGTGAGCATAGTTCTTGTTTTGACCTTTTTTTAAAAAAAAAAACAAAAAAAACAAAAAAAAAAAACATTAGAACAACTTTACCTCTTTTGGGTTACCTGATTTCACAGAAAATTAAATATTTGTTTATATATGTTAAGAGTTATATATGAAAAAAAAAAGAGTTATATATGGAAAACTGAAATTCTCTACCAGGAACTCCCTTCTCTTTTGAACTTTTCCAAGTTCAGTGATACAACAGGAAACCTGAGAAAAAGGAGAAGACCCATAGGTGATAGCCAAGATTTCAAAATAAAACAACAGCTAGAGAGAGAGAGAAAAAAAAAAAAAGCCAAAAATGTACACATGGAACAACACAGCAAATGCTGCGAGATCACAGAGTGAAGCCAAGCAAACAGAAAGACAGATGTGATCATAGGCAGACAGGAGGCCATAACAGGTAAAGATGCTAGTCCCCCTCGGCCGCATAATTGATGGGGTGTTCCCTCAGGTAACATGAGGTACCTTTCAAGAGGCCAAATCACTTTTATAGTTTATATAGAATATATAACAAGCAAAACACACATACACACACACCATTAAACTACAAAGAAAGAGAAATGAGAAGGAACTAGCCCCATTTTATTATAAATACATCGGACTCTTACTACTAAAACTGCTGGGGCATAAATACATAAATACATAGGTCAGAATAGAAAGCAGCAAGGCAGGCCCATCTGCATTCAGAACCTGAGCGCAACCTGAGGGAACTCCCAGGCTATATGGGCAGGAGGGGCTGGCATTCTTCACAATACCAGAAATGGCCAAATCTGAAGGTAAAGCAAGGCAACCTACCATTTTAACAAATAGTGTGCAAAACCAACCTACAGATTAAAAAAAAAAAATGTAAAGGAATGTACCAACCAAATGCAATAGGGAGCTTTGAACTCTGATTCTAACAAACTAAAAGAAATAGTACAGAACAGAAGAGTTTACGTTCTATTAGATAAGACAATGACAAGGAACTATAACAACTTTAGATGCACTGGTTGGGTTCCATAAGGCTTTGAGATGTTTCACATTTATTTATGTATTACCTAAGTGTTTGTTGTATTTGGGCATGGGGACCCCACAGAACACAAGTGGAAGTCAGAGGACAAGTTGCAGGAATTGATTCTGTCTTCCCTTCAGTGGGTTCTAAAGAGTTAACTTGGGCCACCAGCCTTGGCTACAAGTGTCCTTACCCTCTAGGCCATCTAGTTGGCCCTATAGTTCTGTTTTGGGGGGGAAAATTCTTATATGTTTAACAATTCCCATTTTCTGTCTAAAGGCATTTAAATAACAGAGAATGGAGGGAAATATTTTAATAGAATAATTTTTAAAGCCCAGTGCTTTTTAACAAAGTACAGGAGCATAAGTAGTAACTATTTTGAAATCACATCACTGTTCTTCATGCATTTTATACATGTGTGTATGCTTATATGTGTATACATATGCACACACAGCACTGTACTCATAGTATGTACAATGAAAAAAACCACATTAACTTTGCACTTTGAATTTTTAGCATAAATAAGTCTTATTTTCTAAGACTGAGTAGAATCTAGAAATTTCCATAAGAAACAGTGATCCAAACACTGCAGAGAAGTCACTGGCCACAACAGTTGAGTGAGGAGCCCATAGCAACACTATTGGGGAAAGGGCAACTCAGACTCACTCTAGGCACTGTGAGCTCACAGCAACCAGCTGACACCTCTACCTTTCCTGGACCCTCCTCCTTTCTCCTTCCCCCACTGAATCAGAGCTGGGCACATACTCCACCGCAGGCTACACTTCCAGGCCTCATGTTCATGTGTGTATAGAGGAGCTTCACAATGACTACATGAGATTTGATGACATTATTTCTCTGACACGCAAAGGAACATGTTTATATGTTTTTATATTTGAAAAGGAATTTAAAGGTAAGAACATTTAGGACATTTTAATATATTTTTCAGAGTTCATTTAAGTGAACTTAAGTTTTTTTCTACTTTGCTTTTGCCATCTTTGGATACAGCTGATACAAAACTTGTACTCCCTTTAGTATAAAAAAGTTGGTATTTTAAATAATTTGATGCTTTCCTTTGTGCCTACATGGAAATGTAATAAAAGACAAATACATTATTTTTCTTTGTTTGCAATAATGTGTTCCTAAACTTTTGAAAAGGGCTGGAAAGGTGGCTCGGTGGCTGAGAGCTCATGTGCTGCTCTTGCAAAGGACTCAGGGTGGAGTCCCAGCACCCACATGGTGGCTGACAAACATCTGCAGGGTCCAATACAGCACACATGGTGCACATATATGCATGCAGGCAAAACATTACTCATACACATAAATAAATCTAAAAAATTAAATTTTTGAAAAGTTTTCTAAATTTTTATCTGATTTTAGATAATTATACATTTTATGTAAAATGTTTTATCAAGATGGATGACTGACTTTTAAAGAAGAGATTGAAAGATGAAAAGATATGCACCTTCCTCCCATAGCGGTTCTGTCAGGAGAAGATGAAACCCACAGATGAGAGTACTGACTCATAAGGAACAGGCATCTATCTACTCCAGGGCCTGAGCCCAGACACAAAAGAGAGCAGGACTGAGGACAACTGTCTTCTCTCAGCTCTACAGCAGTTGGCATGTGCCATCTGTTTCTTCTACTGCACTGTGCTTACATGCTATCACAGTGCAAGGTCACTGTATCATCAATTAGAGACCTCCAATAACTTCCAGTGGCTTCCAATGGTCATCGAGGGTTGGAATAAAAATGAATTCAATGGCTTCAAAGAATGCTACAGCTCATTAGTGCCTCCCTGGGTGTGACCCTCCCAACATGACTGGACTTACATCTACTGGCAGTATCAGCCAGGCACTAAAGACCTTTTCTGTGAAGCTTGATCACAGACATTTAAAGTGCTGAGTAACTGTTTGGAGTCTCATCGACCACTGTGCTAACAGTGCAAAAGTACCAGTAAGGCAAACTTCGCACCTGGGTGATCAGAGGCAGTCACTGTACCCTCACCCTTGCCTGCACCTTGCTGAGATATTCAACAAGAGCATTTGATAAGACTGCATAAAACACAGATTTTATTAACTGTTACTCTTGAGAAGAGTTTTAGAAATTCTTGATGGTAAAGGAAAACACACAAGACACTTTGTGCCATGCCCAGCCTGTGCTGTCTGCCGGGAGGCACTCCTGTGCTAGTATGACCACTTGCCTGATGTGACACTTGAGTTCCGTGGATGCTGACTTGAAAGAATACCAACTCACTAATAATGGTATTCATGTGGGTAAATGGCACACACCTTCTCAACAACCAGCAAAGTGAACAGGTCACCTTAAATGGAAAAAAAGGGCACATCTGTGGGCCATGATAGGCATGAATGGTTTTGTTCACTGTAGTGGCTTGCCCCTGTAATCCCACTGCAATGCAGGAAGAGGCAGAAAGATCCCTAGGGAATCGTATTTATTAAGATAAATTACTTTATTATTACCACTATGCATCTGTGTAATGCTGGTGTACGCATGCCATGGTGCCTGTGAGGGTTGAGAGGACAACTTTTAGAAAGCCAGTTTCATTCTCCAACTCTGGTTTGCACATACCCACCCAGGCTGTCAGGCTTTCACCCAACTTTAAGCTTTTAAGCAGAAATTAATTTTGAAAAAAATTTGTGGCAGCTTTTCAACACTTTGTGATATGTCAATAACATGTGAGACAGTGAGAATAAAACCTGTAAGTTTTGACCATGTAACGGACTATGCCAACATTGGGAAGATAAACCTAACATAAGACATGGAGATTTTCCAGATGAGCCACACATCATGCTGCAAAGCCATTCAGAGGTCCAAGAACAGAACTGCGAAACAGGCTTATGACTGTGCATATGTGTACATGCATGCATATGGTACATGTGCACAGGTAGAGGTCAGACGCTAGGTGTCGTCTGCAATCACTCTCCACTTTATTTTTTGAGACAGAGTTGGCCTGGAGCTTTCTGATTTGGTTAGGTTGCCCCAGGCATGCTCCTGTATCTGCTTTCCTTTCGCTGGGATTACAGGCACATGCACAGGCATGTTCCACAACGGGTTTTTTTTTTTTTACATAGGTGCTGGGGATCTATAGTCAGTACTCATGCTTGCTTGGCAAGTGCTTTGCCAATTAAGCCACCACCCCAGGCTAGGCCAGTAGATTTTAATGTAACAAAGTATAAAAATCTCATTAATATAACCTGAGATCCAACACCATGACTAACCTTTAAAAGCATGACCACTGCAAATTTAGGTCAAAGCAAACTATCCACTCCTGTCTCCAATGTCTATTACAATATCACTGCCTTTACAATTATGCAACAGTGTGAGCACAGGCATTTCCACCAAAGCACACGGAATATACCTTTCCAATGCCAGGCAAAGAGAATCACAAGATATAAAAATAGTGCCATCTGGCAAATGGGTTATCTCTGTCTTTTAAAAGATCACTGCTTGTTGGTGTTGTTATTTCGTATATGTGCACCTCTACACACAGGGAGAGGCCACAGGAAGACAACGAGTTCCCTGCTCTAACATTCCGCCTTATTGCCTTGAGATAGGGCCTCTCACTGGACCTGGATCTTTCCTCCTGGGAGCCAGGCTGGTTGACCAACAAGCCCCAGGGGTCCACCACCTCACCCCCACCTGGGTTACAGCGATACATAACCATGCACAGCTTTTATGTGGCTAAGAAGGATTAGAAGTTGTGCTTGCTCAGCAATCATCCCTATCCACTGAGCCATCTTCGTGGCCCTTTATTATTATTTTCAAATGAAGCCATTTTCTTGTAGTAATATTCTTTTTTCTCCCTTCCCTCCACTGGAAGCACTGAGGATCAAACCTATGCCCCATGCTGAGAAAGTATTCTACCCCAGTTCAATAAGCATTTTTCTAAATTCCTATTTGGGAAGTATAACTCACACATAGCTCTCTGGAGCTTTAGTAATTTTTAAGAACATTAAAGGGAGATGGCTGGAGGGGAGGGATGGCAAGTATGAAGATACCTGCTGCCAAGCCTGATTACCAAGTCCAATCCCTGGTACTAAAATAGAGTAAGGAGAAAACTAACTCCTGTAAGTTGTCCTTAGACTTCCACACACACTAATAATAAATAAGTAAATAAGTGAAATAAAAACAAAGGGAAACCAAGTACATTAAATATACTGCCATATGTTTTTATCACAATATTCTACAACTAGAAAAAAACAAATTGAATGACAAGATGGATGGACTCACGACAAGAAGGCCTCATTTGCAGCTTCGAAGAACTCAGGCGAGAGGACTTCCTGAGGTTCATGTCCATGGTAGGTGAGTAGAGCCTCTACCAGGGGTTCAAAATCAGGCAGAGTAACAAGAGGGACACACACTTGTGACAGGGACATCATGTGCTCGGGAGCCATCCTATTGGAGAAAAGGTAAGAAGTGATGGCCCAGATCTGATGAACACAGTCTCCCTGCTGAAAAGGATAGTGGCAGGCCCCCACAGTGGCCTAACAGAGGCCTTCTCTAGCACCATGTGCCAGGTCTTCTGTCACTGCCATTCCCACATCTGCACAGGATCCTGTTCCCACACATACGTACTAGAGAAACCAGCAATGTTAAACATGCAGGCCTGTTTCCACTCAAGAAAGGTGGGAGTAGATGTAGTTACCTGATGATCTTTGCTCTCTACAGAGCCAGGCCTTACCTGAATCCCCCAGAATGTTTATCCCTGACCCTTCCTCCCTAGACCACTATCTTCAGCATTGTTTCTTAGTCAGTAAACCCATCCTTATGAGAGATGTCTATGTACTTTGTAGTTTGGTGACCTCTACTTTATCTGTATGACTAAGAAAACACCTGACCTCCCCCAGGGCCCTTAAACTTCTTTAAGCTTTATTTTACACATGGAATTGAGATCATTGTTACCAGGAAGCATTCTTAAATGCCTAAAAAATAAACTCCCCAATGTCAGACTCAAGAAGTTTGAACCAATACCCACTAACTAATTCATGTTGAATCAGATCTCCTTCTTGCCTCACTCAGATCCTGACTCTCTGCCTGTGGTGTCTGCAAAGTACCCCCTCCCCAAGTCTTCTGCTCTGCCTTCTAAGTAAGGGCTTGCTGTCCAACCTACCTGTGAAATATTACCTTCCTTGAATCACACAGTCTCAAATGCTGCTTTATGGCAGTTCTCTGACCACTGCCTATCAATACACTGTCATGGGTAACAGCCTAAATGAATTAAGGTGTAGCAAAACTAGAGACTGGGACCCTAGCAGTATCTCAGGAGCTCATCAGCTCTGCAGGGCCAGTGGCTACAGTGCTGGGAGGGGCTTGTTATAGGATGTGTTCTTTAGCAAAGAGTACAACAGTGAGCCCATCTGCAAGGTGTGTGGAAAATGCAAGCCCTCCTATCCCCACTCTCGGGTCTACAGAGGTTTTCACACTAGACTCTGTGCTTCATGTAAGACAAATGCAGCTTCATTAAGACAGAGAACAAAGAGGACTCATCAACAGACAGTCTCCTGACAGATGAAGGAGTCTTCAACAAGTTTTTGGAAAGGGTGAAATTCAACTTGCTGTGTATTTGTACAAAAATCAACAAGTAACAAATAACCTGTGGTTTAGTTACAGAATGGAATGCTATATGGGAGTTAAAATGAACTGAACCAGACATACATTATCCAGATACATAAAGTTTAAAAGTATAATTATGAAAAAAGAAAGCAAAATATTATCTATATCCATGTTATTTCTTACATGAAGTTCTGAAACATTCACAGTGACACACACACACAAAACAAAAATACTGAAAGTAGAATCTGAAGGACAGTAACTTCTGCAGGGGTTATTCCCCTGGAGAGGAAGCAGTGTGGTAAAAGAGATGCTTTCGAACTGATACCAAAACTCTTTCCTTGGAAGATCAAAAACAGACAATAATGTAACATACACATTGGAAAACGTGGGCAATGGGCACAAGGATGTCAAATATCTTACAATCAAACTTTTCAAAACTGAAATTAAATGTCATAACAATGCTAAACCTGAAGAAACAATATTTGCAATAACAGATATTTTCCTTGTTTTAGGTTGTTTGAGACCAGCAGGGCCAGCACATAAAAAAGTGCTGATCCTCAGTCAATCCTGGTGCTCAGTCCTCTGCTGTTGCTGTCCTGTTGCTGTTGCTTCTACATGATACTCAGTGAGCACGGTTTCTTTGGAAACACGTGTTTCTCATTTTTTATCCTGATAACTAAGCAGCTTCTCACTCAGACTTAGTTGACTGAAGAACCTAACCTGTCTTTGAACATCTGCATCATATTACTTGTTAACTCAAATAGTCCTGAAATGTGCAGCAGAAAGGACGGGAGAACACTGACATGCCATGTGACTGTGGACATGAGAGCCTAGCCAAGTTTGGAGCTTTATAGCACCTTTCAGTGCCAAGGGGCAATGGGATACAGAAACTGTGAGCACTGTGGCCCATCCAAATGCGCTCAGGTCAACAGAGGCTGGAGCATAGGCATGCCACAGCGTGAACTCTGAGTCTACACGTGTTTCTGGGCTGCTGCCTCATCCAAGATGAACAGTCAAATGAATGATTCCCTATCAGTCCCTATGAGTCAGAATCCTAGAGGGGAACACCAGGTTTCTGGTACTCTGGATACAACAAGCATTCCACACACTAACTCTCCTGACCACTATCAGGAGAGGCTGCTGGACAATGAGCTAAAATAGTGCCCTTTGTGCCAGGCTTCATCTTGTAACTGTCTCAGATGCTTGTTTTTCAAAGACAACATGGACAAACTCTTCAGCATAGAGCAAAGTCCCCTCAAGGACATCCGTGATAGCACTGGGTGTGTGAAACAATAACCACTGTGGCTAGTAGTTATTCCTAGCAGCAGCAAGTCTCTGCTGGACAGAACTGGGATAACTCCTAACTGAATCCACAAAAACCACGGGATGCCCATGCTAGCCTGACATCCCAGGGGCACATTTTAAGCTTTCCTCATTTGCTCCACTAAATCCTATTTCACACAGTCTTTCTTTTCCTAGTTTTACCCTCTCAGATTATTTTATAACTGAGTAAGATAGTTTTCCCTGGTAACCCTGCAGTGCATGCTGAGCCAGTACATAATTTTCAAAGGAAATTCAACCCATCCATGGAGCTGATTTAGTCTTATCGGAAGACTGACTTTAAAAAGTAACTTGATGCCTCACATGCTCTTTGAGTCTTTTTATGAGCTTTTAAAGTCTTGTTTTTTAATATCTGAAAACCATGAAATTCTGTTCCCTATCCATTAAAAATAAAAAATAACTTAGCCCCTTAAAACCTTGGACAAACAAAGTAAATAAACTGCAACTAATAAAAATAATGAAAAAATAAATAAATAAACCTTGGACAAAGTCAAAGTTCATGTGTGGGTGTGTGCAGGTATCCACTTTGTTTCTGAGACCAGATCTCACTAGTTAGACCAGGCTACACGGCCAGTAAGCCTCAGGGATCCTGCTGTCTCCATTTTCCCAGGATGAAGATTACAAATATGTACCATCATGCTCAGGTTTACATGGATGCAGGGTTCAAACTCAGGTCCTCCTGTTGGCACCACAAGTGCTTTACCAACTCAGCTATTTGTTCAGCCCCACATTGGGAATTCTTAGTGTGTAACTGCTATGTGAACTTTAACATCTTCTGTCCTGAGACAAAATGGCGTCAAGACAGAACTTCAAAGACAGCTGCCAAACCTGACAGAGCCATCACAGCCATGCCACCACTATTAATAACTGAAGTGCAACACTATCTTACATATCTAAAATTACCTGCAAGTTTGTAGATGTGCAAATCATAACCTTGGAACCAGAAAGAGCATAGTGGTCCAGAAACTTCCTGGTTCACACTTGAATCTACACAATTGCATCCACTTATGAAAACACACCTGTTATTATGATGTCAAAAGTTCAAGCAGCCAAAAGCCCCCAAGGCCCCCAAACACAATCCGAAACAAGCAAGCAAGCCATGCTGTTCTTCTCTTTGGTTCTGCTAAGGGACTCCATTCATTGTAAACTTTTTGGTACTTGACTATTTAAAGTTCATTTCACAAGTTTCAAAAATCTTCATAAAATGTAGATTGATGCCCTGAGTTCAAATGCAGAGATGGTCGGAAGAGTGCCAGGGTTTGAGTCAGCCTCCTTTAGAAAGGCTGATAAACAGGCATGTGACCAAGGGGGAAAAAATCAGCAATTCAATGGCAGGTGTTTAAATTCTACAAGGTCTTTGCTAAAAACAGCTAGTAGGTGTGACACTCTGGACTTTCTAAGCAGTCTTACTGTCATATGCTGCAGACAGCTGGGAAGCTAGAGACAACCATACATGAAGGATGTTTCTAACAGAGTATGCTTACCATCAAGCCCTCTACAGTTCCTTTTTCTGCCCAGAAGTCATTTGAAATACTGCTCTGGCAGTAAGTCAAAGCCCAACACCTAGTGTATGCAGTCTGGAAATCTGCTTAACTCCCTCTTGAAGTCGGATCTCCAGGTTCTGACAAACATCAAGCTGGATCCAAATGCCATGAGCACCTTCAGAGGGCCACCTATTGGCCTGCCTGCATTTTGGTAAACCCAAGCACTACCTAATTTTATAAACTTTAAAGCTGGAGGTTTTGTTTGTTTGTTTGTTTGTTTGTTTGTTTTTTAATGACAGAGTCTCTCTGTGTAGTTCTGGCTGTTTTGGAACTCATTCTGTAGACTGGGCTGGCTTCGAACTCGGAGATTTACCTGCCTCTGCCTCCTGAGTACTGAGATTAAAGCTGTGCACCACCACTGCCAGGTGACTTTAAACTTGACAAAAAGATTTATCATGAACCTTTTCCAGCCTTACTGGGAGACACAACCTGCAGCAACTGATATTTTTAGCTTGGTCCATGTCCTCAGGGCCACCAGCTTTTCCTATCTACCCGGTCCTTCTCCCCTTTCAGAAAATGAGAAAATTCACACCTGCATGTCCTTTAGAGAAGAGGATTTCATGATAGCCACTGACTCTGGATGTCCAATGAATATACCATTCGATTTCACAAACAGCCATGTGACTATGAAATACAGGACACTAGGGCTCTCTATAAAATGTATAAATGTGCAGCAGTACACACCCACAGCTGCTCCTCTTACACTGCTGAGGATTCAAATTCACAAACATCCCTCTGACTATGTAACAAACGATGCTAGGGGCTTTGTGCAAAAATACTTAAAGGGAAACATAACACATTATGCAAGCGCGGCTCTTCCCTCACTTATCCTGCCTAGGAAGCTCAAAGATTCTGATATTTTAGGACAGTTGCGGCTCAAAATAAACAGCTCTTTTTAACAGCTTAGAAAATGAACTAAAATCAAATTCAGGGCTGAAATCAATCAATTAGAAACAA